AATAATTTTTTCATTCCATATACAACGTAATGTTCCATCTTTAATACATTAAGATATATAATTAAGTAAATCATTAAAATGTATGTATTTAAGACTTCAATCTTGTCACTTTTATTCATAAACAGACGTCTCAATAGTTAAGGGCGGACATGCCAATATACCTGTTTTTATAGTATTTATTAAATATTTGTTTAAAAGATTTTTAAAAGGTAAAATTTACATTATTTATTTATTTATTTTATAGTTTATGAAATACAGGATAAATATTAGGAAAAATTGAAATTATTCCATCTCAAAATTTTAGTTCAATTTAATTCCTCAGTTTTAAAAAAATGAATTTAATTATATTAAATTCTGTTAAATTTATTTAATATTTTTTATACATAATATTTTTGTTTACACAGTTTAACATATTTTTATTTTTTATTTTAATATTAATTAAAAAATATATTTAAGACATCAAATAAACTTATAATTAATTTATTTTTAAAAAATTAAATTTATGAATTCTGAAAAAACAAATATTATATAAAACTTTTGCAAAATTAATTTCAATTTTTATTTAATTTACTAAAAATATATTTAACAAAAAGAATACATAAACACTAGTTTTCTTAAAGAATTAATTAATTATGGTGAGTGAATTTGTCTCCTCACCGTGGCATTCTTCTCAACCATCTAGGTTCTTCAGCAACCTTCAGAATGGTGTTATCGTGTTCATTGATTCTCTCTTATAACGTGGCAATGCAATTATCAATATTCCACTACTTATTATTAAATGTACATGGATAACATTGAACATTTTATATGAGTTTCTTCTGCCACAGTCAATAAATTCTTTAAGGAAAACTATTATATGTTTTCATTAAAACTAATGAAATACAATTGAAAAATTTAACAAGAAGTTAAATTTACCATTATCCTGTATGTAATATTAAAGATAGAAAAAAAAAAAACTTCAACAACAAGCTATAATAATAAAAATCCACTATTTAAGAGAAATAAATCATTTAACTCTTTTGAAAATAACAATTTTATTATTTTAAAACTTACTTTTTCTTACATATATATATATATATATATATAATATGTAATATATATATATATATATATATATATATAGATATACTATCTATATATCTATATATATATATATTATTGCCCTCTATACATTTTCTTCTATAGCAACACACTCACCAAAGCCAGTTTTGAAAATGGCCTCTACTCTTGTGCTTTTGTTCTGTTTGGTTGCAAGTGATGAACAGTGAAGTTTGTTCCAATAAGTGCAATGAACCAAGAGTAATACATGGAATGAAAATAGAGAAAAATCATCACCTATTAGAAGCATATGGAACAAGCAACTACAAAGTGGAACAGAAAAAGAAAAATATGATAAAAAAAACCAGCTTTTTTCCCACCCTAATTCCCTTCCTCCTTTTCATTCCACCTCCATAGCTTCCACTTTCCATCACCAAACGTTCCAGGGTTACCATGGCCCGGGACCTTCACTTCCACTTTCCTCCTGTACCAATCCCTCATCGGGATCACTTTTTCTGCACCTTCTCCAACCACCTGATATGCACGGAAATCTACTTCCTTCATATGTTTTTTTAAGCGAAATTGTGTGTCATGGTGTCTGTGTTTGGTTTATGTCTGTATATTTTCAGAATAAGAGCACGTGTGTTTGAAACCAACCATGTTTTCAGTTTTTTTTATGTGTTCAATGGTCTTTTGAATAAAAACATGTTTCTGTTTGTGTTGGCTTTAATCATATTCTTTTAATTTATTTATGAAGTTTATAATTAATCTCTTTTTTCTTTTTAAGTTCTTATATTTACCCTACTCTTTGCCAAGAATAACGATGGGGAACGGTCCCTATAATAAGTTCTCAAATAAATTATGATATTTTAACAATTTTTTTTAACACTTTTGTCTATCGTAAAATGGATGAATTATAATGGATCATTTATAAACTAACCCATGTTAAAAAAACTTTTTTCTTATATGTTTTAAAATTACACTGCGTTTTTCAAGTATTTTTTTGTTTTAAAACTTTTTGAACATCAAAAGTTTTATGCCCATACTTTTGTTAAGTAGCATCTAATCTTAATAAAATTATTAAAGGGAAATTCCAGAACTATAATCAAGCTGTACATGCAAATTCATGAAGTCGTTAATCATTACTTGGAAATTACATGATATACAAGTAGTCAGAGACAATCAGATGAATATCTCATATCAGCAAATCATAGCACGTGTAGAAGCTACGAACTCGTACCAATTGAAAAGGAAAAATTACAAAATCAAATGTCAAAGAGAGAGATTAAGAGACTAGCAAATACATAAAGAGTATAGCAACATAATTTCCCAATATAGAAATTTGAAGAAAAAATATTTATTCAAAAATATGTACTCTTCTTCAGAACCTAATAAGGCTGTACAAATGAGGGATTAAAATGTAAACATTTAAAAATTCTGACCACATGAACCTAAGTTCTTTATCTCCATCAAATGTTCATCATTTGAAATATTGAGTAAAATACGAAGGTTAGTCAATATTTCTTCTTTTTCCCAACTTAAAGGACCAGAGGCATACAAAACTTCTAGGGTACTGTGGTATGCATTCAACTCAAACCTATGAATTGTTTCTGCTGCAACCTCACTGGCAGAAGTGGAGCATCCTTTATCCACATCTCCAACATCTAGAGATTCTGCATCACTGCAAAGGGTATCTTCATCTTGGCAAGGACCTGCTAAGGTATCACTGGAAATTTTATTTGAGTTACTACTAATCACACTACAACTGCCAACAGAACTCAGATCACTACAAGAATAATCAGGTTCTTCAATTCGTTCAAGAAAGTGTGTTGAAACATTACAAGAATTCTCCTTTCCTGTTTCATAATATTTGTTGGTACCATTAGTAAAGGAAGTATGCATGCATTTTTCACCCATATTATTTTGTGGGTAAACAACAGCATGTACCTTTTGCAGCAAGGGGGCTGTAGTTACAGCTTTGAATCTTTCACACTCACCCATATTCGACATAGTCCTTAATTTTCTGGGATAAGAGGAGACAAAAGGGGACATTCTTTTCAACGTTAAAGATGAGACCACGCGTTCCTGGTGATCACTGGCATCTAATCCTTGAGAAAAAATATTTCGGCACTTATTTTCAGGCTGATCCTTGGAACTGTTAGAAATCAAGTTAGACTTCCCAACTGGTGACTTACCAGATCCCTGGAACAAGCACGAACAAAATATCAGGACATTGAATTCAATTTAAGTGTAGTCAAGGAGCCTCTATGAATAAACCAGAAATTCAACCATAAAGAAAGTTGTCCAAACTTTGGAGTATTAACTAACATTAAAAAAAAATTAAATCATAAGCAATTATGTTGAGCAAATAGAAATTTACCTTTGACATAAGAACCCATTGACCATTTTGAAAAGTCTGGCGTGCCCTCATGTTTACCTTGAGTACCGTTAACTCTTTGCAAGATACCCATAGCCTTACCAAGAAGAAATCTCCATCAATGAATTTCAAAACAGTGGCTGCTCTCCAAGAACCAAAATTGTAAACCTCCACGTGATCATTTGCTGCCCAATTCCCAATACCTTTAACTGGAGGGGGGGATGGTCTGATGGCATTCCTTGAAACTCTTACTATGCTAGACTCACTTGTTGTACTAGAACGGTTATACTGAACCCTGTACGTGTGCCCATTACCAGAAATTATTCGCGCACATCGCCATTCCACACTAGGTCCATCAGTAGAACCAGGTTATCTTAAAGATGAACCGGTATTCCTTTTAATTATCGATCGAGAATTTATCCTTAGTCAAGTTATTTGAGTTGGGAAGTACACTAATTAAAATTCATATGGTGTTTAATAGTACTACTAAGTGTTAATTAATAGGTTTTAAATGAGCATTTAAAATAGACATTAAATAGGGATAATAAGAAAATATGATGGTATGTAGCATTTGACAGAAATGATTAAATGACCGATTGTAAAGCCATGCATGTAAGGCACGTACCAAACCCTGCTTCCATGGAACATAGTAGTATGTGGAATAATTTTAACTTTTTACTAATTTTCTTATTATTTAAATTAAATTAAATGTATTAATATTTAGAATACTGAGTATTTTTATTTTATCTAATGTCTGTTTTATAAATTATTGTGAAATTTAATAAAATATAATAAGATGAATTTTATCGGCGATGTAATAAGAAGATAGTGTAACTAAGTTTCTTTATAATTAGGAGAAACTGCTTTTTCTTTCAACATAATGGTTATATTTAACAAAATTTGTTAAATTCTTATAATAGTTAATTGAAATAGAAATATTGATTACAAATTAACTCCTTATAAGTGGCAAGTTTTGTAACTTTGGTTTTTAATTTTTTTACATAACTTTAATTCCTTGATTTTTAATATTCCATTTTAAATTTTAGGAATATGTATGTCTACTCTTAACGTTGACTACTACATAAATGTATTTGAATTGATGATTGGAAAACTAAATTAATGAATATTTTAATTCGATAAATATGTAAAAATGAAATGAAATTAATAAAAAAAAATAATATATTGAATCATCGTCAAATTGTATTTGTTGACAAATTTTGTGTCTAAATTAATAAAAAAATCATTTACTCTAATCCTATTACCTACCGTCTAAGATATATATATATATATATATATCGCATTCGTACATTGTTATGAACAACGTCTCATTAAGGTTTTATTCTATCTTCATTCTCACGATCAATGCTTTGGTGTTGTGACGATTCCATGATTTGAGAAATTTATTCTCACCCAAAAAAATACATATGCATTAGTCCTATATTTTACCTTTTAATTTTAATTTGAATTTCTAAGTTTATAAGATGAACACACTTAATTAGTAAATATTAACCTAAACACACAATGTTTCTAAAATATATAAATGGACTACGTTACCACCATAATAGGGATCATGGGAAGACGTTAAATATATAAGTTATCGCCATAATTTATTTAAGCAACTATAAAACTAAAACTATTTGAAACTAAATTTAGATACATAGGAATTAATTACATGTACAAAAATCTTGAAATCCCATAACATCCTTCCTAACATTACAAGAAATTAATTATGTATGATTAATGTAAATTTCAAAACATGTGTTTAAACCTGTTCAAGCGAAAATAATATTTGTAAAAGTATTTATTTAGGTTTGATAAAATAGTAACCATATTTTTTTACGTATTTTTATTTCCGATAAAAACTAATATTACACGGTTCATGTAATATTACACGGTTTATTTAGGTTTATATTTTGATTTATTTATGTTTTAAAATTTTAATTTTATTTATTTTTGGTGGCATTATATTTTTCATTGATGAAAAGAAGTCTGTTTTTCATTGATCATGTAAGAAATATTTATGTTTTGATTTATTTAAGTTTTAAAATTTTAATTTTATTAATTTTTGGTGGCATTATATTTTTCATTGATGAATAGAACTCTATTTTTCATTGATAAATAAACTTGATCGGGGAGTAAGCGTTATAAATAAAATGGGATGATAATTTAGTAATATATGTAGGCAAATACTATTTGTGTAATCACTAGAGTAAATTACTCTTTAATATCACATAATTTATAACAAACTCAAATAAAAGTGATCAAAAAATACGTAGTATTATTTTTGTAAATAATTATAACTTATTTACACCCAATACAAAAACTTTTGTAATTACTAGTGGATTTTTACCAACAAAAATAAAGTGGTTGATAAACCCAAAATTACTGATGAATTTTAAAATTTAAATTTTTGATAAATATTTTCATTGATAATTAATCTGACAATAAAATTTGTTAGTAGGATCTATCAGTAAATTATAATTTGTATTAGTGCTAAATATTTTTATCGGTAATATATTTAACAATCAATTTTGTCAGTAAATTTCATCAATAATTTGTAATTTGTATTATTGACGAATTTTTTGTCAATAGAATGAGCAATAAATTTCCTATCAAATATGAGATTTTTATATATTAAGGAGAGATGGGTGAGAAAAAAATAGAAGAAAAAATGAAAGGAGAAGAGGAAGAGAAAACAGAAGGAGGAGGAGGTGTGGCAGTGGTGGTCAAAGTTGGAAGATAAGAAGGAAGAAGAAGAGGAAGACAAGGAGGAGGAACTGCAATTGGTGATAGCGGATGCAGCGACGATGACAATGAAAGGGAAGGACTGTAAGGAGAATGGGAGGAGGAGAAAAGGAAGAAAAAAAAAGAGGAGAGAGAAAAAGAAAAGGAAAATAAGTAGAAGAGGAGGAGAAGGAAAAAAGAGACCAAATTATGACATTTACTGACTAATTTTATCGAATGCCATAGTCTATCAGAAATTAGCAACAAATATTTATCGGTGAACTTGTGATCGTTCGTAATTACTGACATTTTTCGTGACCCGTCACTAAATTCTATTGATGAGCATTTCACCAACGTATTTGTGGTTGTCAGTAATCTGTTAGTGATTAATTTATCAACAAATTTTTGCTATTACTAATCGTTATGAGTTTGATGTAAAACTAGACATTTAAATCAAACTATATTTAGTCCAATGTAAATGTTAAGTTTTATGTCAAATTCCCAATAATATAATGTAAAATTGTTTTCACATTTATGTTGGACTAATATACGATCTTATGTAAATATTGAGTTTTATGTCAAAGTCCTAACAATCCAACATAAAATTGTTTAAATTAATGTTCTCGGCTTTTTCTTCCTTGCAATTTATCTCTCTTTCCTTCTCGTTTCTCTCCTCTAGGTGGTAGTGACGACAATGTTGTTATGTAAGTATCTGGGAATGTTTTGAAGACTATTTTTAAGTCTAAATCATTGGTTGTGTATATTGTGGTGATGAGATTTTTTTCCAATATTGCATTAGAGTTTTATGGGTCTAAATGCGTGATTGAGGAGAATGGTTATATCTCTACCATACTGTTGAAGTTGAACTATGTTTGTTTATGGGAATCTTAATAATGGCAATGCATGAAAGCCTCCGTTAATTTTGAGTTTATAATATGTTGTTGTATTCCATTTTATTTTCTATGTCCAAAAATGTTGTTCTACCATTCAAACTATGACTTCATAACAATATTCATTGTAAGTAAACTTGAGATTATTGTTTTTCTGTATTTCAAGTTTTGATTTAAGCCAAAACTGATTAAATTTAAAATAATACAAAAATTTACATCAATCCTCACTAGATTCAACGTAAATTTATGTTCAGTGTTTTATCCAACATAAGTCTACGTCACTCGTATCCACGTCAGAATGTTGAAAACAATCGAAAAAAAATTGTTTTGTGATATTAAATTAACCAATGTAAAGAACCATGTTACATCAGTTCAATGTGTATGAACCTGTGTAATTATATTTTTAATTTAATTGACTTTTTACGTTGTATATGACAGCAAATATAACATCTTTTAAAACATTAAAATATGTGTCTTCCTTTCTGTCATTTTTAAAAGTCCTCATTTTTGTGTTTTCTCTAAGTGCACATATTATTTTTCATCTAGTATGAAGTTTCTCTCTACCAATAAGTCATCACATTCCTTTTCCATCGCTTTATCACGCGAATACAATGAATCACCACAAGTTTAATGTTGGAGCTATAAAGTTAATCTAGTGGTAAAAGTTAGAAAGAATGATGGAAGAGATTGTGGATTATTTTAATTGATTTTTTTATACATTAAATTTATCCAAAGATATTTAGTTTTGCAATGAAACTATTACAGTCAGTTTTATTAGTTTTTTTATAAATTCATTTAATTAAAATTCACATATTAGTGCAGTAGACAATAAAAAAAATTTATATTGGATATAAAATATTATTTTTATAATAGTTGGTATAATTCACGTTGCATAAAATACAAGATGGTAAAAGAGTACACATGATATCCTTAAAAAGAAAGTAAAAGTGTAGAATAATGCTTCCTATATCTTCAAACTTAACCTCCACAAAATTTGTATAGAAGTTACTAGATTCAGATTTATCTCACTTAGACTCGATTATGGTATATAAGAACTGATACTGACATTAGTTTAACCTCTGAAATAAATGTTTAATGTTTTGATAATTATGTCAAGGTAGTAGATTTGTCGATAAGATTTCGGTCTTAATCTTATCCTAAGATCGTATCACCAAAGTTGAAGAGAATAAAATACGACCAAGATATTATAGTAAAATATTTAATCTATTTTTTAAGGAAATGTCTCTTACCAAAAGTAGATGAAAGGAGAGTTCTGTTTTTTCTTTTCTTCTTTAAGTGGTCTCTCTAATAAACTTTTTGTGTGTGTGTGTGGGGTGTCAAATGGAAGAAAACTAAAAGGTACAGTTATTGTGTGTAATATGAGGTTGTTTTTTTTTCACCTCCTTTTTTTTCTTCTTATACCCCTTAGAACCCATAAACCTTAAATTACTTCTCGTTAATATTATAATAAAAAGTAAAAGTTTATGTATTTTTATTTTTTAGTGCATTTTGTATATACTAAAATATATTTTCAATTCCTAATTATGTCATTTTTTGAATTTAGGTAATTCCTTCCAATTTTTTATCTATTATTTTTCTTCAAAAGCTTTTACAGATATATTTAAGAAAAAGAGAAATCAAACTACTTTCAAAATAAAATTATCGTCGAACTATATATAATTTTATTGTAAAGGATATTATTACTTTTCTGTTTTATACTATTCCTTCTCTTTTACTATATTATTAGTACTTTTTAATTATCTAAAAAAATTTCATGTTCACAACTTCTCTCTTTTTTTCTTTATTTAGTTTTTGTTAAATGATAATTATTCTCGTGAACTAATTGGAATTAACTAACTGATAAACAAATACCAGTTTTTAACTTTTTCGACAAAAAGTTCATCTCTTGTCATGGGAGTTCTTGTATTTATAAGAAGATAAAAACTGTTATAACGCGTTATGCTTTCCATATATGAGATAGGCATTTGGATGAGAGAGAGCCTAAAAAATGTCTTTTATAGAATTATTATGGATTTGCTTTCTTTCTTTTTACTCTTTTTAGTTTTTAATTTATTTTTCATATTAGCTTTGTCTTGCAGCTTTCACTTTCTGATTCTCTTTGCAACTAGAGAATTGTTTATCTTTCACTTCAGTCCAAACTTTTGGTTTTTTTATAACCAAGGGTCAGTTTTGATACCGTGTATTTAGAGAAAATTGTATTTTTTTTCCTTTTTTAAATTACCTTAAATTTAAAAATATTTATTCAAAAGACTAAAGCGTCAAATTACAAATACCCAAAAGCCATCCAAAATATTTTATTAATATAATAATAAATAATAATATAATAGAATTGCATTCTCATAGCATTATGAATATCATTAGATAATCACCTTTGATTAATAGCAGTGTGCAACCACATCCACACTCTTCATCTTCTAATCTAACGATGACAACATTTGAAGTTGTTTTCATCGCTACGCCAGCCCTCGGTAACCTCGTTCCACTTGTCGAATTCGCTAACCTTCTAACCAAACACGACCCTCGATTCTCTGCAACCGTTCTCACCATTTTCATGCCACAACGACCCCTCGTCAACACCTACGTCCAATCACGCGCCTCCTCCCCCGCTAATCTCCGAATCCTCCACCTCCCTACCGTCGACCCGCCCCCACCCGATCAGTACCAATCCTCCATCGCCTTCCTCTCCCTCCACATACAAAACCATAAACACCACGTCAAGAATGCACTCCTTAGCCTTCTTCCCTCCGACTCCAACTCGCCCGTTCGACTCGCCGCCGTCTTCGTCGACATGTTCTGTGGCTCTCTCATCGACGTCGCCGCCGAGCTCTCCGTCCCGTGCTACCTCTTCTTCGCGTCGCCCGCGAGCTTCCTCGGCTTCACGCTCCACCTCCCCCGGCCCGACTCGCTCGACTCGGAGTCCGAGTTTTCCATTCCGAGTTTCAAAAACCCCGTGCCTAAATCCGTTTTGCCCAGCTTCGTGTTGGATGCGAACGACGCCTCCTCCTGGTTTTCTTACCACGCGCGAAGGTACAGGGAGACGAAGGGTATCGTGGTGAACACGCTTGGAGAGCTTGAGCCCCACGCGCTTCAGTCACTTCACGACGATTCCCTTTTACCACGTGTTTACCCGATTGGGCCTGTTGTTGACCTTGCTGGATCGGCCGGATGGGATCCCAACCCGGTCCAGTATAAGCGAATCATGGAGTGGCTCGACCGCCAGCCTGCTGCTTCCGTGGTTTTACTCTGCTTCGGCAGCATGGGAAGCATGAAAGCAGACCAGGTTGAGCAGATCGCGATTGGGCTGGAACGGGCCGGTGTTAGATTCATATGGGCCTTGCGGGAGCCTCCGAAGGCCCAGTTAGAAGACCCGAGAGATTACTTAAACGAAGTGGATGTTTTACCAGATGGATTTTTAAAACGGACGGCTGGGATAGGCTTGGTGTGTGGATGGGTCCCACAAGCTAAGGTGCTGGGTCACGAGGCTGTTGGTGGCTTCGTGTCGCATTGTGGTTGGAATTCGATTCTGGAGAGTTTGTGGCACGGTGTGGTGGTTGCCACGTGGCCGGTGTATGCGGAGCAGCATCTGAACGCGTTTCAGATGATTAGGGAGCTGGGATTAGCGGTGGAGATTAGCGTGGACTATAGGGTGGGTGGTGATCTTGTGCGGGCGGAAGCTGTTGAGAAAGGTGTGAGGTCGCTGATAGAGGGTAGCGATGAGCTGAGGAGAAAGGTGAAAGAGATGAGTGAGAAATGTAAAAGCGCGCTTGTGGAGAAAGGATCATCTTACAATAACCTAGTGTCCCTGATTCAGGAGTTGACAAGTTGATCAATGCAAGGTAATCAAATTTCTGTTTTATGTCATATTAATTTTTATTATATTGAACCACTTAACACTTCATATTTCGATTATAATAAATAAAATTCAGCTTTGGTTTTATATAGACAAGGTATATTTAACACTTAAGTTTTAAGTAATAATTAGTACGAGTACGAAACACGAATTGTTTAAGCATGCAAAATATATAAAATATGTTAAATTAAAAAAAAAAGTGTTTAGCTATTAATTTATATATGTAAAGAAAAAAAAAAGAACCAAGGTCTCCATCACTCAATACCAAGGTCCACCGCTACATATAAATAAGCACTTTCATCTTATGAAAGTGAAGATTTTCTGATATAATTCACTTTCTATAATGTCTTAATAAAAAAAAATTCTATGATCTAACATTTAATGACTTGAATTAGGAGAACATAAAATACATGTTCTACAAAAGATTATTGGTGCATTATGTTATGTGTCACAAAATTTCTATTTATAGACATCTTAATTACTTACAAATGTCTTTAAAAAAATTCAAAATAAAAGCTTTATTCAATTATTTTTTTCATTTAGAATTAATATATTATTTTTACTCCGGCGTGAGCCACCACCAAAAGGATAATATTAATGGAACCCTCTTACAAATATTTATGAGAAAGAAAAGGACAAAATAGTTTTTTTTTTTAATTTTGTTGATGCATAAAAAAATTATGGGATGCAAAGTGATGTCTTACTGATTTAAAATTCACAATGTTGACCTTATAAATACTTCCATAAGTTTATAAGACTACTCTTAACTAATTCACATTTTTTTAAGAAAATTAGTTAAATCTAATGGGCACGTATATTTTTATTCTAAAGTTATTCTTATTATTTTTAAAAGTAAAGTAATTGAGTGAGACTTTAATATATGCAAAGACTTGTATTTTTATTAGTATTTTAATAAAATGAGGTCTATTAATCAAATATATTTTATTAGGAAAAATAATATTTTCTGAAAAGCATCCAATAATTGTATTGAGGAAACTTTATG